GAAGCCCTGCAGTGGGGGTGGGTTTCGGGGTGGGTGCAAGCTCTGGGGTGGGGGTGGGTTTCGGGGTGGGTGCAGGCTCTGGGGTGGGCTGGAGATGAGGCGTTTGGAGGGTAGGAGGGGCTCTGTGTTTGGAGAGGCTCAGGGCTGGGGCAGGAGGCTGGTGCTCAGGGTGTGGGCATGGGCTGTCCTCGGCCAGCTCCCAGGGAGCAGTGCAGCAGGGGCAGCTTCCTGCCTGTCAAGCTCTGGGGTGGGGGTGGGTTTCGGGGTGGGTGCAGGCTCTGGGGTGGGCTGGAGATGAGGCGTTTGGAGGGTAGGAGGGGCTCTGTGTTTGGAGAGGCTCAGGGCTGGGGCAGGAGGCTGGTGCTCAGGGTGTGGGCATGGGCTGTCCTCGGCCAGCTCCCAGGGAGCAGTGCAGCAGGGGCAGCTTCCTGCCTGTCCTGGCACCGCGGACGGCCCTGCACCCCGGAAGGGGCTGGCAGCGGGTCTGGTTCCTAGGCAGAGGTGCACAAGTGGCTCTGCGCGCTGCTTTTGCCCACCGGCCCCGGTCCCCAGAGCCAACGCCCAGGGTAGAGGCAGCACAGGGAGCCCCATCCACCCCGCCTAGGAGCTGGACCAGCTGCTGGCCACGTCTGGGGCACAGCGGGGTCCACAGTGCAGGACTGGGAGGGAGCTGCCTTAGCCCCCCCTGCTAGTCACCTGGTCCCCCTGCAGCCAGGCGACCCAGCGCCTGCTGTTCTGTGACTCGGTCCCAGGTTGTAAGCCGTAGTTTGCAAACCACTGCTCTAGTGGTCACCCGTGGAGGATGAGAAGCCTGCTATGGCCTTAGGTCAGACACTGGAGTTTTAGATCAGGCAGGAGCGGCAATGCCAGGTTCCTTCCCCACTAACACCCTGCATCCCAGAGGGTGCTGCTACACATGCACAGGTTGTCACACTGTGAGAGCCAGAAAGTGCATGCTGGGAGAGCGGGTTTATGGAGCTCTTTCCACCTGCGTGTGCTTTGCTTCTCTTGACCTTGCCGGGATCCGCCGATTGGCAGTGGTTAAGCCAGGGAGACCAAGACAAGTTCCAGTTGCCCACTAAATTCTGGGTTTTTTTTCCTAGATACATAAGAACGGCCACACTGGGCCAGACCAATGGTCCATCTAGCCCAGCATTCTGTCTCCTACAGTGAACAGAACTGGATGGACGGGATCATCCTCCAATCTTCCCCTCCAAATCTGCAGAGATTTTAAGCCAGAAGACATAAGGGGGCTGCCTAATCCTGCATAATCCAGACCAGAAAATGCCACCGAGTGATTCCTGCAGATCACACCCCTGCCGCATGGCTGAGCTACAGGGCCTCTCTCAAAGCCATGCCTCGGCTGTCAGGTCTGGGCAGAGACCTGCGCTGCCTGTCGCGTGCAGAATTGTCCTACCTTCCAGCGTGGTGACCCGGGTGGTCTGCGGAGGGATATAGTGCACGTTGGACTCTGGAATGAGCACGACCTCATAGGTGGTTTCTGGCGAGAGATTGCTCAGGAGGAGACTGGTGTGATCTCCAGACACTTGCTTCACCAACTTCCTCCCCGGGTCGTCCGTGGGGGCATATTCCAGCACGTAGTAGCCGATGTCGTTGGAGAGGAGCCTGGGCCAGGTCAGACGGAAGCTGCTGGAGGTAATGTCCACGGCACGGAGCCGCTTGGCTCGGATAACATCTGGTGGGAAAAAACAGCAAGAAGTGCTCCCTGGAGGATCCTGCTGTGAGCAGAGACATCGCTATGCCTGTGAAAATAGCTCCCTCCCTTCACGTCGGCAGCAGCCGCCTCATGAGGCAGGTGAGCATTTATCACCCCCAAATAGCGGGGGTTCGCCTCTCACACAAGGAGCACTAGACACCTCAGTGCTAACTCTACACATGGCTCAGCTCACCCCCTGTTGCAATGCAGCCACTTCTGGGGTGGAACAGGGCAGCTGTTTAGCTGCTCACAGCAACACAGTACAGCAGGCGAGAACCAGGCTGCCATGAACCAATCCCTTTTTTAAAGATTCTGGAGCACAACAATGCCTTTCCCCCAAAGCAAGTGCAAACAGCAGGGAGGTCTGGGCATGTGGGGATGCAGGGGAAACACTGGAGAATCAAGTCTGAAGAACACCCCATTATACCCTTTGTCATCCTCAGAGCACCAGGGCCAGGCTTGTAAAGCGAGTGCATCTCTCTCCAACAACCACCAGATGGCAGCAGAAACCACACCCCAAAAACTGGCACAGGGCTCAGCTGTGGGGCCAGGCCTGCACTGAGGCCAAACGGGCACGATGGGGACACCTGTCCCACTGGGGCTGTGCTCAGAACCGCCCCCATTCCCGCCCCAAGCTCCTGACCGGAGGAGTGCGGGTCGAGGAGTTAATGGGGGAATTGGAGTGAGATGGGATCATGCTGGGGGTGGGGGGAGAGGGGGATTGGAGTAGTTTTTTTCTTCTCACTTATGCAGTTCCCCGTTGAGGCTATTGTCTACACTCGTGGATTCTTGCTCGAGTAATATGCAAATGAGGCTCAGCAATATTCCACGCTTAGCCTCATTTGCATACCTAATGAGCCACCATTTTTTCAGAAGAGACTCTTGCGTAAGAAGGAGCATCTACACTGCCCCTTCTTGCGCAAGAAAAACCCTCTTGTGCAATGCCATTACACCTATTACTTTTCAGGAAGAACGGCATTGTGCAAGAGGGTTTTTCTTGTGCAAGAAGGGCCAGTGTAGATGCTCCTTCTTGCGCAAGAGCCTCTTCTGAAAAAAAATGAGGCTTGACAATATTCCATGCTTAGCCTCATTTGCATATTACTTGTGCAAGAAGCCGCAAGTGTAGACATAGCCTGATAGTTCTCCACCCCTGCCATACATAAAGAAAACATTGAAACCTTTTGTGGGATATAAATTAATATTTGACTTCATTTAAAATAAAGTTTGATAAACTAACATAAGAAAGTTAAAACGTGTAATCTGTTTAATGATTTACCATTCTCCCTAGCTGCAGCACTAGCAAAATGGCTCAGGCATAATTATGTAATTAACAGTGAGTTTCCATTAGCAACTGGAAGTCTGCGGAAAGGTTTGCACGGAGCCAGGTGTTCCACAGACCAAAAAGTTTGAGAACCACTGCGCTAGAGAGCACAATGCTGCCCAGGCTCCGGGGGCAGCCGAGGGGAGAGGAAAATACACGTGTGGGGGGCTCCCCCTGCCCCAAAGCCATGTTGGCTCCTGGCAGAAAGGTAAAGGCACCATGGACCAGATCCCCAGGGGATGCCACTCCCAGAAGGGTGGGACACCCATGAGTCACCCACCCATTCCTGCCTGGGTCATTTCCTTGAAACCCCCCAGCCACCCTGACCCCACCCCGTGCTGGCAGTCCAGCATTACGCCCCCCACAAGACTGGAGCCAATGCCAGCTTCCTGGGGGTGGGGGGGAAGCCCTGAGGCTCCATGCCACATCCAGGGAAAACGTGCACTGCTCCTCCCCTCCCCACAAGAAAAGTCAGAGCAGAGCCCAGGAAACCAAGAGCCCACCCCCCCCAAGGAGAGCAGCACAGCCCAGGGCCGGAGGGTTAAATCTCAGTGCGCCACTTCGGAAAGGTTGCCGACCCCGATCTTTCCTGGGGGTGGGGGGGAAGCCCTGAGGCTCCATGCCACATCCAGGGAAAACGTGCACTGCTCCTCCCCTCCCCACAAGAAAAGTCAGAGCAGAGCCCAGGAAACCAAGAGCCCACCCCCCCCAAGGAGAGCAGCACAGCCCAGGGCCGGAGGGTTAAATCTCAGTGCGCCACTTCGGAAAGGTTGCCGACCCCGATCTAGGGCATTGCGGCCTCCCCAGCTCTGCCCTGTCTCAGGAAGCCTCCAGCTTCCCTAGCAACTAGGTCCCTCCAACTCCACAGCTGGAGCAAGAATGAGTGTTCTCCTGCTGCCAGGAGCCCTCTTTTATACAGCCCCAGCTGGGACCTAATTGGCCGTATCTGCCTCAGCTGCTTCTCCACGCTCTCAGCCCTCTGCCAGGACTGGGTTTTAACCCCTATGGGGCCAGTGCGGGGCAGACGCCCCATCACAGTGTCTCATGGATCAGAACGGGGCCCGCAGTCGGGATCGGGCCCCATCATGCCAGGGCTGCACAGACGCAAGCCTCCCCAGGAAGCCAGGCTCTGTAGCAGGTTTGCCCCGTATTCTGCCTGGGTGCGTGACTCCCCTTGATTTGCTTTCCGATCCCTGTAGCTCCTATGCCACCCCCAGACAGGAGTCTGGGTTTGCCCCTGGATACCTGAAGCTGCTGTGGGCTTGGCTCAGGCCCTAGAGAAGGAGTTGAAGAATGTCAAGTCATCCTGCCCTCTTCTTAGAGCGGCTGGGGGGGCCCGCTTTCCAGAGCTAGCCTCCTTCTAAACCAGAGAGCAGTGATGCCCTTCTGCCCTGGCCACTCAGGGTTCCCCTTCTCCAGCGGGGGTTTATCTAGGCATTACAGCCAACATCCAGGAGCGGCAGTGTGGCCTGTATCACAGAGGAGCCGGCCAAAGCAGATCTTGGGTGGGAAATGGGGATTTCCATGAGTGAGAAAATACAAACTTTCCCCTGCCTAGTGGTTAGAGGAGGTGACCCCTGTGGGTTCTGTTCCCAGTGCTCAGGGGAGGATGACCTGATGGTTAGAGCAGGCGATTGGAAGCCGGGACTCCTTGGTCCAGTCTCCAGCTCCAGGGGAAAGTGACATGTACGGAGGCTGTGAGGCTTCCTTTGCCAGGGTTGGAAAGAAGAGCTCTGGGTCCCTTTGAGGGAGCTGCCAGGGAAGCGAAAGGCTCTCTTGACGCACTGCTACAGCATCTTCCATCTCCAGCTAGAAACGCTTCACACACATCCCTGTCCAACACAGACAGGTGGGGGCACTGAGGCACCAAGCAGTGACGTGACCTCCCGAAGAGCACACAGCAAATCCTCAACAGAGCTGGGAACAGTGCCCAGATCTCAGGCCCCCATGTGACCCAGAAGCCCAGCCTTACCCTCCCTTAAAGAGCTGGTGTCCCAGGCCAGCTCCCATGTGCTCTAGAAAACAGCCTCAGTTTCCCCTTCCAGCTGTTTATGGGCATTCCCTGCTGGGTAGGAACATTCCACATTCCATGCCCTCACTTCCCCTCTTCAAACCAGCAGCACCCAGCGCCCCTCCCTGGTTCCCACAGTGCTGTGCAATAACTCCCCCACCCCACTGGCCCTTGCAGTGTGATTCCTAAGGGCACAAGGCACAAAGGCCCAGCTCACTTTGAAACTCGGAGGCGCTGGAATGAATGTCTACCCTGCCAAAGGCCAAACGCACCGGGAAAGGAAACAAAGCACCTCTGAGAAGAGCCCAGGGGTGTTGTGTGAGAACCGGGTGGGGCAAACTACACCCCTGCCCTGTCTTACATCAGCTGGGCATCTGGCCCGTGGAATGCTGACAATATCAAGCCCCAAGCCCTGCTGCACAGCTGGAACAGCCTTGGCCAGAAAGCACAGCCACTAAACCACAGAGAGAACATCAGAACGGCCACACTGGGTCAGAGCAAAGGTCCATCGAGCCCAGTGTCCTGTCTGCCGACAATGGCAGCTACCCCAGAAGGAATGAACAGAACAGGGAATCATTCACCCATTCCCAGCTTCTGACAAACAGAAGTTAGGGACACCAGCCCTGCCCATCCTGGCTAATAGCCATTGATGAACCTACCCTCTGTGAATTTATCTAGGGTTTTTTTTAACCCTGTTAAAGTCCTGGCCTTCACAACATCCTCTGGCAAGGAGTTCCACAGGTTGACTGTTGCTGTGTGAAGAAATACTTCATTTTGTTCATTTTAAATCTGCATCCTTACTTCCCCCGTTGCCTAGGAACCCCTCTGTCCCACCCCCAGGCTATGAGGGGGCACTCTCAGGCTGGCCAGCCTCTGAGCAGTGACCAGTTCATGGAGGTGCAAGACAGCCCCATGCGAAGGCTGCCCCTCTGCCCATGGCTGGTATCTTAGGTGCATGACTGAATAGCTGACCAAGACACTGCTTTGCCATAACCGTCACACTAGGTGTCTCATGGATCAGATCCGGACCCACAGTCAGGATTGCTATAGCCACTGGATCCCCCTTTGTCCGCATGCTTGTCGACTCCCTCCAAGAACTCGAGTAGATTGGTGAGGCATGACTTCCCTTTACAGAAACCATGGGCACTTTTCCCCAGCAAATTATGTTCATCTTTGTGTCTGACAATTCTGTTCTTTACTATAGTTTCAACCAATTTGCCCGGTACCGACGTTAGACTTGCCAGTCTGTAATTGCCAGGATCACCTCGAGAGCCCTTTTTAAATATTGGCATCACATTCGCTCCCCTCCAGTCATGAGGAACAGAAACTGATTTAAAGGATAGGTTACAAACCAATGAGGCATTCCGCAATTTCACACTTGAGTTCTTGCAGAACTCCTGGGTGAAAGCCATCTGGTCCCGGGGACTTGTTACTGTTTCGTTATCAATTTGTTCCAAAACCTCCTCTAGTGACACTTCAGTCTGGGACAATTCCTCAGATTTGACCTCTAAAAAGAGCGGCACAGGTTTGTGAATCTCTTTAAATGATGATACAGGGCACGTGGCTCGTTTGATTCAGCACCACATGAGTTTCCAATCTACGACTAACGTTAGATTCGTGGGATGTTGTTCCCTAGGCATACATCAT